AAGACATCCTCACACGTTTCGTGTCCTTAAGGAGATTAAGGACAGGTAGTTGTATTAACCCCCAATTTATAAGTCGAGTTGACGCTTCCATTGAATTTCACATAGCTTTGTCTTTCTCAAAGGTGGACATAACTCATATTTATAATTTACTGAGTTTCTTGAAAATCTACTCGCTAACGAAAAAATAGAATTTATTCACAGCAGAATGCTTTTATTCTGAAGGAGCGCAGAAACTCGTCGCTACTGCTGCCATGGAATGAAGATATAGCCTGGGAAGTGGGTTAGTTTGGGTAGAATCCTAAAGGGTCGCCTAACTGGGCTCGTGGGTAAATTGAATTACTCCAGCTTCGCATCAGCAAAATATAAAAGATTTTGATCACAGCAACCGGATACCTTTCAATTCAAGTCTCCATCTTGTCTCAAACTTTTATATGCTAAGAAAAGTTAGGCTTCGATGATGTGTAGCTTACTTGCATTTCGAATAAAAATGTTTAGTGAAGCAATGTAAAGGTCGATCCCAACAGAAGACGACGATTTATTCCTCTTGACCAACTGCAGATTGGCTTTACTGGAACACCCTTGCTAGCGCGTTTCCGAGGCAATTTCCCTCCGTTGTGGGGAAAACGTGCTAAGCTTTCGTCTCTCGTTTGATGGACATTGTCTTCGGAGTTTTCTTGACTAGTTTGCTTGAATATGCTTGTATGGATGACAACCTACTCTGATGATGTCCGTCATAGCACAAACAAGAACTAGGCACATTTTCACTTGAATCGAAGAGATTGCCTCGGAAACAGCGTCAACAAGAATGTTCCAGTAGAGCCAATTGAAAGGTGGCTAGGAGGAATCCGCCGTCGTCTTTGTGTGGGATCGCCCTTCCAATCTCTTCACCAGCCTCTTTCGCTCGAAATGAAAATAAGCTCAAAATGTATTCCTAACTTGCAGGATATAAATGTTTTATATTGGTCCATTTGCCTAAGACTGGCTAAATTTATCAGTTAATTGCTTCCAAATGGGAGTAAATGTGAATTCCTAGTCTTGCACTTCCCGGGAGCCGATTGTTTGGGCAATAACAGCAAGTTGGATGTCATTTGAAGTTAGTTGGGGATAAACTTTGATTTCTTCCATTTCCCAGCGAGGCTTTGTAGCCGAATCTCAAACCGATTCCATTCTTCCTCGATACAAGTCACCAATTATCCAAATCAACTATAAAGATGCCCTATTGGCGCCCGATGATGTACCGAAAATCTTCTGCCCGCCAGTTCACCTCCCAGGTTGCACTGAGGCTAATGGGAAAGGGGGTTTCACCATTCTTGCCGGTGAACAGGGCTTGACTGTCGAACTTGCTGACTCCAAATCGGGAATCGGTTGTTCTGCTCAGCAGTCGAAACCGATGCTCACTACTCAAAAGGAGCCAGCATGCACAGCCGGGAAGCGTGACGCCGGCGTCTACGAACCACTTGCATTGGACCGAATCGGACCAAACTCCGTCTTGTCACCATGGGCAGCCGAGCCTCAGCAGTCCTCGACTAGAAGAGATGAAAGGGTATCATCGAAAGATGCCACACCTCGGGCACCAGACAATAAACGATGCGTCAGCAGTTCTTCTTCTTCAACGCCAGCATCAGCAACGCCATTAGTGGCCGAGTTAGACGGACCGTTTGATCCACCCTGTCAGTTCAGTGAAAGAGACACTTTGGTCCGAATCTACTATCGAGCCTCATTGCTTACCTCGCAGTTTCTCGGGCTGCCGCTAGCCAAAGCTGTTGTGTTGCCTTGGTGCGGAGAGACGTCTTCGTATCCTAGACACAAGGTGGCCACAACTGCAGTCGTCACACCAGCTGCCAACACAACAGCAATCTCCATTCCCTCGGCAACCCAGGTCCGAATGGCAAAGACAAGTCTGAGTCTGTCCACTCAAGCCTCCTTGAACCGTCCCGGGGAGGGGGAGTTGATTAAAGTTGGGCATATTCAAGCGGAAGAGACAAGAGACGGTGCTACCAAAGCCATATCTGAAACAGACGGAAATAGGCGGCTGGATTGTCATCGCATTTTGGAGAACGATATGTACGTCAATATAGACAGGTAAGCCGAGTTGTGAGCGTAGAGTATGATTATAGAAGATTAATCCAACCTACAAAAATGTGTGTTAATGCCCCGCGCCTCTTCCATTTAAATTGCCAAAAGGGGTCCCCCTCTGAATTAATCTACATCTCATATTACTGATTTACTGGTAGTCTCGAGACCCTACTTACATACGAAAAATAAGTAACGTAGTCGATGGTTATAACAAAAATACGTTTGCTTCATCTATACTCCAACCAAAGAATGTGATATAGGAAAAGGTCTGGCCTTCCTTGAAATTCACACCTGCCCTGTGGCCAAAGGGGACTCGTGGCAATGTGGCCGAGTGGTTAACGTGTCAAGCTCACATTCTGCACTGTCACGGTTCGACTCCCGCTGGGGGTGTTGATAAGACCAATGCGAGGTTGGAACTGCAGTCAACTCTGGATGAGAAGTGAAATTGAAGGGAAACGTCAGCTCTACTCATATCATTATGGGAAACTTCGACTACCAGTCCTTCATCACGTTAAACGAAATATAGTGAATACATCTCATATTACTGATTAACTGGTAGACTCAAAACTCTACTTATATACGAAAAATAATCTAATATAAACAAGCTAGAAGTTGTGATAGCGAGGGAAGGAGAAACGAGGCCAAAGGAAAGATAGAATTATCAGGACAGAAGGGGTAATAACTCAATCGATCGGCAGAAAGTTAGTCAAGGGATGAGCTTAACTTGTGTTTTTGACGAGTTGTAGTTGGTGTTAAGAGTGGCTAGACTCACTGACGAGGTTTACTCAGAGACCAGCGAAACGTCTGGATATGTCCAAAGTCCCCAGTCCCCAGTTAGCATAACTATGTTGGGGGGACTTACATTTCGTATGAAAGTGCACAAAGAAGAGATTCATAGGTCGATCTCACCAGAAGAGGACGGATGAATCCCGTTTTACTACAGCCGTTTGGCTTTTATACGATGTTCAGGCTGATGCAGTCCACGAGACGGGCTGAGCTTTCGTCCATCAACTGATGGACATCATCAGAGCTGGGTGTCATTCTTGCAAAAGTCTCACGCTAACATTAAAGCAAGAACACTTTCCGGCTCCATCTTTCCTCTTGTATAGACTCAATTAAGGCAAAAGAAGATTAAAAACCTAGACAGATAGATATAGAGTGGTTTGGCTAATTATCCTTCATATTGGTCTTGCTACTTTTGCTCGAGAGTGTGCGTG